AACTAGTTAAGCTCTTCAGCTAGACTATATCTCTTCCTGCTCTACAATAAGGAACACAAGTGCAGAGAGGTTGGTCTGTTTACTCAAGGTTAACAAGGGCACACTCAAGCTAGACCCTAGGCATTCGAACAACCTCCGCTCTCCTCAATCAGCACTACTAACCATACGAGCAGGCTGCCTCATCTTCATCTGGGAATGATTTTGCATTAAGTACATTAATAAAAAGAATTATTGCAAAAACACTTTTTGTAGTTAAACTTTTAATTGTCATAAATTACCATATTCTTTAATTTCAAAATATGCGGTTGCAGTTGTTGAAAAGTCCTCTTTATATTTAGCTCGAATTGTCCACACACCATACCTGTGGAAGCAAAATATTGAAAATTACAGACATCATCAGATATTTTTAATTCACCCAGAGGAGGGCTAATAAATTCTTGATTTAAAGAGGGAAAAATACACAAAGATGTACATAACCTAAGTAATATATTTTATGTGTGACAGATTTTTAAGCAATAAACAGAAATAATTGAGCATTTTTAGGATAATAGAAATTGTTAAGTAATTAGTTTTTTATATATTGTATCATCTTTTCCAGGTATTTTATGTTAATATAGTCATTAGCTTTGATTCAAAGAACTTGTGATACTTGCAAATTTACATAATCCTGGATCTCAATTATGTTAACATAATACTAAAATCCACAATATATTAGAAAATCCATAATAATGTCTCTAGAAACATGTAATACAGGTCAAGCCTATCCTGATGATAAAATTCACACCTCATATGAATGAAATTATGGCTTGAGACAAAATGTGTTTTAAGAAGAAAATAACCTGGGTTTAATTAACAATCTTCATTCAAAAATACATACTGAGCACTGGATTAAGCACTGGAGATAAAAAATGAACAGGATAGAAGAGCACCTATCTTCATAGAGTTTAATATTAATAGTCCCTGGGAGTTCAAAATCTTACTTTTCCATTTACTAACAGGTTTGACTTAGGCAAATTATGTAACTTCATTTGTAAAATGGGACAAATAATATCAACCTTGCAAATTGGTTATGCAGTTAACAAATGTTAATATTATAATGATTATTATCATCATCAATGAATATTTATCAAGTATCCCTTGTATGTTGAAGTGCTGGAGATAAAACAGTGTGCAATACAGACAAGGCCCCTGCTCTTAAGGAATTTATAAGCTAGTGGGGAATAAAAAAGCAAGTAAATAAATAATTATGACATTGAGATGAATGTCATGAAGAAAATAAACAAGATTACTGAGATAGACAGTAAAAGAAAGTGAGAGATGACATTAGCTCGTGCAGCCAGAAATAGCCTTTTTATAAAGGCACCATTTACTCTGTGTCCTAAAAATGAAAATAAGTCAGCCTTATGAAGAGCAAGGTGAAACCCATTCCAGACAGAGGGGACTACATGTGCAAAGGTACTTAGGTAGGAAAATACTGGTCATAATAGACTCTCATGGTTATCATAATCCACCATGGGGCAGGTGGCACTAGATGAAGTTACATAAATAATAGGTTCAATTCTGTGCTGTGGAATATGTAATATTTTCAAGAAAGTACACAATTTTTAAATTATCCAAATTACTTAAATCCCCCAATTGCAATCCAAATTTTTAGAATATTTTCAGTACAGTGAATTAACTACAAACTCCCTTCTAGAGGACAGAAGAAAATGACTATAAAAATATTTTGTCTTAAAGTTATATTATAGACATTTACAGGTACACTTGTCTTATTCATCCTGTTCTATTATAAATTCCTTGAAGCAGGGACTGTGGATTCTTCATTTCTCTTTTGCATCTCTCACTCCTATTGTGATTTGTATATAGTAAGAATGTGCTCACTAAATATTTATTACACTGAATCCTGTTTAAACTTGTTATTTTTTATTTTCTTTTTTTTTGAGACAGAGTCTTGCTCTGTTGCCTGGGCTAGAGTGTCGTGGTGTCAGCCTAGCTCACAGCAACCTCAAACTCCTGGGCTCAAGGGATCCTCCTGCCTCAGCCTCCCGAGTAGCTGGGACGACAAGCATGTGCCACCATGCCCGGCTAATTTTTTCTACATATTTTTAGTTATCCAGCTAATTTCTTTCTATTTTTTTAGTAGAGATGGGGTCTCGCTCTTGGTCAGGCTGGTCTCAAACTTCTGAGCTCAAACGATCTGCCCGCCTCAGACTCCCAGAGTGCTAGGATTACAGGTGTGAGCCACCATGACCGGCCTAAACTTGTTTGTAAATCCTTTCACATGAGGCCAAATGGAAGAAATGGTTCTGAGAACACCTTACCTCTTAGACTCTGCCTTTTGGTAGTCTATGCAGACAAAAACTACAGAGGACCGTATTTTATAACACTTAGAGCACAGAATGGGACCATACCAGCCTTTTAAAAGGACAGTCCATTAAATTCCTAGGAGTTGATGGTTTTGATGAGAAAAGGCCTCGGGACTATTTCTGCCTCTTCTCAACTTTTATTTCTATTAATATATGTAAAAAGGATGGGTGAGAAGTATTGGGGGGTTTTTTTGTTTTGTTTTGTTTGCTGGGAACAGAACTCTAACTTCTCACTGGACTTAAAAAGATTTGGCATATCCACATTTGTGACACTCTTTGTTAACACTAGATGGCTCCCTTTGGTTACCTGCTTCACAACAGAAAGTTCAAGATGTGCTTTTTAGAGAAAATTTTATTGACAAAACTTTAACATACTTAGGATTAGATGGAATCTTGAAGTCAGGAAAAGATATAATTCCAGTATAATCATTTTCTTCTACTATGTCAACTTCTGATCCTTCAGGATCCTTTGAATAAAAACAAACACCCTCAAAGCACAGAAACCACATTTTTTAAAAATTTAACTGATTATATGATCTTTGATCTACAAAAATATTTACCAATGAATACCCATGTCTTCAAATTAAATATGAAGGATGAAGAACAATTAAATGTTATAGAAGGCAAATACCATTCATTTCAGCTACTTCCCTCCCTTTTCTTCAAACCTTTCCCATCTCTCCTCATTATCTAGAAGAGGCTGTACTCTCTATTGTACAACCAAGAAGTGTAACAAAATGTAAAAAAAAAAGACCCAAAACTGATATTTTCAATAAACTAAATGTGAACTTAGCAGGCTTTATAAACATCAGAGTCTAATTTTTGTATATGTTCATTTGAAGCTTTCTAAAGTAAATATTCTATAAACTGTATTTTTAGCTAGAAATTTAACATACAGTATGGACATTTTGGTGTGATAAAACCCTTAAAATTGTTAAACAAATTGATAGCTCTTATAAAGCTTCCCCATAAGCCTCATTTTGTGTTTGGGTTAGCAAATTATTGAAGTGAGGTTTTGACTTTCTTTGGACTACATGTGAAAGTTCAGTTCAAACTTAACTCAAAAACTCAGCACCATTTACCATGACTGAAATTCACAGTCAGAATTTTAAGGTATTTTTTTCTTGAATTTCAAATTGTAAATCTTACAAAAGCCTATTTTGAACAAGAATTACACTTGGGCTAAGTATCTTCATCCCACCATCTATTGCGCACAATCCTTCTAAGATCATCTTTCTTAAGTACTATTTTCAAGATACTTCCTACATACTGACTCCCTGCAGCTCTGGGTTCAGCTCCCTCAATCCTCTCTTCCTAGGGCAGCTCTTACACAGGACAACTGGCATGCATTTTCCATGTATGGTGCCAGAATTCTGCATCACTCAAGTTGGACAATGGAGATGCTGGACAATGACCGTGTGTCCACACCCCCAGCATTTTCCAATAGAAAAGGTGCATTAGAGTTGACATCGCTTCTCCTTAGTTCTCTTCCAGACCTTCCATCAGTCAACCAGTTCATTTACTATTCTCATTTTTTATTTCTTCCTGCCCCCAAAGCTGAACTCATGGTGCTCTTTACACGGGATGGTCTTCGTTCTTTTAAAAGAATCTCTGTCTATTCCTTTCATTAAGACCCAGCTCACGGTTTCCTTTACTATTCCACTCCAGAAAAGGATTATATCACCCTCGCTCTCACCCCTAGTTTGTCTTCCCTCTGAGTTCATGTGCTATTTGTCCGACTGTATAATTTCTTTGGTTTATATTCTAGTTTGGTTTTGTTCTCTAGTATCTTTTTTCTTGCACTTGCATTCTGATGAGTTTTTATTTTTTGATTTGCATAGCAGAAAAAGTGCCATAGCCTATGGTGAAGGACACTTACTAGTACACTTACAGTTAATAAGTGAGCAGTTATGACTAATTGTATTATTTTATTTCCCAACAAAAATTTTTTAGGTGCACGAAACAAACTGGGTAAGACTATGGGAGTTTAATGCACATCATCTGTTACATATGTCATGTCTGATAAATGGTTGGCAACTGCTGATCTCATAGTTTAGCAAGACTTTTTACATGTGTTAGTAAATTAGTTATTAAACTCTCTAAGTTTCTTCAGAGTAAGTACCATGGATTATAATTCTTTATTATAAATTATACAAATAAAAATCTTATACATATATTCAATTAATTCTTAGTGACTTACAGGTGTTCCTTAAAAGAGAAATCCCCAAGGATATACTTAAATGGTTTCATTCAAAGTTCTTTAAGTTGTTAAAATTTAATTTTTATGAACTTTTTGCATATGTCTATTGCAGAGGTATAGATCTAGAATACTATACTCATTGCAGATGTTCAATAACCATTCATAGACCATTGAATGATTTAGTGTAGTGTGAGAAAGGATTATGGAACAAGACTCTTGTTCTGAAAAAATGAGTTAAAGTATTATTTAAATAAATAAAATTACTTACTATGAAAGTTAAGGCAGTTTCTCTTTTGGCTGGCTTCAAGTCATCATTCAATGAATAAACTCTAACCTTTACTGCAAGAATAATTGATGTCATCAAAAACTCTTCTAAACACCAGGATATTTCGATTTTTTTAAAACAATCATCCTTAAAAGAGATGTCTTATTTTATTTAAAAAACTCAATATATGATCAATACACAAAAATTCATATTTAAAAGAAAAAAGTTCATTTGCAGATACATATATTACTAAAGTTTTTTTGCTTTAAAGAAAATTCTCTGGGATTCCTTTAAAAAGCTACTTCTCCTAGCTAACTTGAATTACAGTTCACTTTATTAAAATACACTTAACATACAACTTTTTGGAAAAACATCCATAGTACAAAATCAGTTACATCTGTAATTAGGCCATGTTTATCAAGAATTCGATAGTAGCAAAGTAGTGACATCTACCATATGGGTACAGGGGAGCATAATATATTGTCTCATATTAGAGTTGAAGATTTTAATGGAAAATTGGGAGTTTGACTCAGACATTATACACTCTTCCATTTATGAAAATCAACAAGACCTCGAATTAACTCTTATTGAAAAAGGGAGCTTTGAATCGTACAGTTTTGTTATATTTATTAAGCCAGATCCTACAATTACTCTCTCATTGTTAAAAGAGTAATGGCAGGGGCTCAATAACTGTTAGTTCTCTTCCATATCTTTCTGTCAGTTAATAGATCCCTATTTTTTGAACAAAAGCATCTGTTTAGCTTTTAACTCACAGCTGTTTGAGGCACACTCATTTAGTTCCATCCAATGACATACTGTAATTTCTCCAGTGTTGTCCTGATGCTCAAATCATTTCATGGCCACAACTTTACCCACAAAATAAAACAGAACTGGCACTATAAACCCAAAACCTTTAAAAAGGTCAATATTATGCAAACTTCTATATAAGAAGCCACATTAACTAACGCTTGTTTTACTAAGACCACAAGGTAAAAGCAATGTACTCAGTAAATTCCCCACACTCTGCTCTCTCCTTCCCCTCACACCTGCCTCATAGACACACCCGCTCCAGGCCTGGGCATCACTGGGAAGCTGCCCAAGGCAGGCAGTATGTCACAAAAGTGAGCACAGGCTCTGGAGTTAAAAACTTTGGTTTCACTCCTGCCTCAGCCACCATCTAGTGTGATCCTGCGTGTGGGATACTTAATCCCTTTAAACCTTAGTTACCTCACTCATAAACCAGGAATACCAGTATCTGCTCATAGTGTTGTAAGAACTAAAGAAGACAAAGCTTTTGCATATTCTGGAACATAACTGTAATCGATAAATTGGTATTACTTTCATTATTATTATTATGTATTACTTTTATTATTATTTCTATGACTACTATTCGTCTAGTTTTTATCCCAGTTTGTTTTTAGGTTACAGAATTAATCTTGTTTTTGCAGCAATAGTGTATCGGAGGCAAGATTAATACAATTTTTTGCATCAAAGATATCAGCTTATTAATTTAAAGAAGTGTTTGAATGCCTTCTATGTGCCAGGCACGATGCTGGACACTGAGATGCAGTAGTGAAACAACTCAAACAGGGACATCGTCTAGTGGAGGGAGGAGAGAGGCAAACACCATTACGTGTAAGATTCCAAGGGTGTGAAGCGCTACAGATGACACCTGCCCAGCTTTATGTGCATGTAGTAGAGGAGATTCGAAGTGGTCAGTGAGGTCAAGGAAGGCTGCCCTTTAAAGGGGCTTGTGAGCACATGCAAGGGTGGAGTAGAAACTAGGACAAAGGAGGGGCAAGAATGTACCAGGCAGAGACAATGGCACATACACAGGCCTTAATGTGGATGGGGAAATGGTGTGAGAAAGCAACTGAAAACAGGTCAGTTTGGCTTGTGTCCACGGATGAGGGGGCACATGGTAGGTGATGAAGCTGAGGAAGAAGGTAGGACACAGACTGTATGGTATTGAAGGGTTTTGGCCAAAATTCGAAAGTCCTTTATCCTATAAAGGCTTGAAGATTTAAGCCTTTATTCTAAAGATGCTTATACTAAAAATACATCAAGGATCTTACGTGTCAATCAGGACATTAGAGCTATAAATAGCAAGACTTAATTTTTAAAAAGTTACTTTTAGGTAATTGGTTTTTTTGCAAATAAGGCTTTGTCCTATTCTATAGATTAGTTAATAATGAAAAACACTTTCTTAGTGCTTACTCTGTGCTAGGCACAATTTTAAGTGCTTTACACATATGAATTCCCTTAATTCTCACAACTCTGTGAGGTAAGTTATCTTATTACCTCCATTTTACAGATGGGAAAAGTGGGGGTCTGAGAGCTTGAGTAACTCATGCAGGGTCACATAGCTAATAACAGCCTCAGCTGGGATTTGAACCCAGACAATCTAGCTCTGGAGTCTGATTTTAATCACTTTACTTCACTACCTCTCACTAAAGGGCCAATATTTAGAGAAAAGTTCTGTCATTTTCCTCTATGATTAGACTAGATAAGGATGCCATATTTTATGGTAAAGTTCTGATAGAGAAATAATAAATGAGGCAGTTCTTAAGGAAAGGCTTGATAATATAAAAAAGTCCCAGGCTGTGGGTGTTAGACTACTTATTGGACAAAGACTGATGACCCTAAGTTGTAGGTAGTGTCAATAGTATCCAATTAATGAAGCATCCTCTAACGAGGGAAAGGATATGCTTATTCCTAGGTATGATTATGTTTTAAAACATTCAACCTTTATAGGCAGAGACTATTTCCTTGCAGACCAACTGAACTTGGAGTCAAGAGATGCTACTATTCTGGCAATGATATTCTGGCCCAGCGGATAGCAATATCCCCACCCTCTCTAGGCCTTTCCTTCCTGAGCCGATTATAACAAGTGCTCCTGCTGAAATGGTAATGATGTAGCCCAGTTCCACCTCACTGCTGTCATCATCACCAACCAACATTTAGCAAGTATTCACTGTGTGCAAAGTTTTTCAAAAAAGCTGGCTTTTCTTTAACAAAGAAAGTCCTGCCTTCCTTTCTCGGTCTTGCCCCAACAGTAACATTAACAAAACTCCACAGCCTCTCCCTCCCACATACACATCTCTCATATCCTATCTCTGATGTGCTCAAAAGTCAATGATGGCCAGAGGGAGAAATGGGGGAATTGAAGGCTTTGCAAACACGTGAATGTATTGGGCAGTATTCATACTTCGCTGTGTTTTACTTTTCGTTTATTGGGAATAAATCCAGTTATTCCTTATTCACAGGATTTTGACTGTCTATTTGGCCCTTTACCCCTCTAAGAGAAGAACCATGAATATGAAACAATGTTCTAACAGAAACTTTCTTAGGTAAATCCCCTTTGAAAATTAATATCCATATATTTCTGTGATCTAGTTTATTCTCTGCTGAAACATCTGATGCCCTAGGGGCAGATTTGTTTTCTGAATTTGGGTGGGGATTAGCTCCAGAGTCAAGGAAATTTTTTATGAACATGGCTCCACAATAAATTATTT